AAGGTGAGCAAGCCACCTCCATCAGCAAAAGATACATCAATGTTTATACAATCAGAAAAACAAACAAACACAAACACAAAAAAAGAAAGCAAAAATCAGTAGGAGGGCTTTGGCCTTTGTATTTGGTAAAATGCTGTTTTGCGCTTATGGCTAGGAAGATATGTCTTTGATTGATCTTTCTATAGTAAAAACCAACACCACACAAGAAAGGCCAGAAAGCCACGCCCCTTTGGTGAGGCACTCATGTGAACACCTAACTTTGTATTTTCCTGTCCTAGCCTATTCCCATCTGTGGCCATCTGCGGTCAGATGAGAGTGACTTACCTCCACCCAGAGTAGGACACCCTGAAGTTCACACCCCAGATACCCATTAACGAAAGCAGAGAAGAAGCGTGAACAATGCAAACGGTGAAGCTGTACAGCAGCAGTGTCTTTCGGGCCACAACAGCACCTGCCCGCCACCCGCCCTTGCACAGCCACCCGGTTTCCCCATCTTTAACCCTGGCTGCACTTACAGAACAGGCAGCAAAAGCTGACGAAAGCCTCTGTGTTAAAAGAAAGTTGCAAAGGGTGGGCTGATCTACATTTGAGCTTTGTTAGTAATCTGGGAAGGGGCTCAGGAGGCAAGGCCAGCGAAACCAACAGACGGGAGGGCCAGCCACGAGCAGAGCACTGACGGGTGCTGACTCAGCGTGGGCAGAGCTGGGGGACCAGATCCTGTATTTGTGCATTCAAAGCAGGTACATTCAAAGGCCTTTCTTCATGAACCCCCGTAAGGGACTCCTGAGTCGTTACATAAACTGCCACACTGAAACATGACCAAATCTGTCATTGGAAGACAGTAATGGCAAACACTTCCGAATTAACTACAGCCTAAGCAAAATGAAACACACGTCTCCTACCAACAAGGAGGATGAAGGCTCTTCAGTCTGGTCTTTAAAGACAAACACATCACTAACGGGAGGGGAGAACTGAGGAGAGGGTAACAGAAAGCAGACCTCCCAGTGGCACCAGAGAAGAAGGCCACACAGCTGGCATGAACTCTTGGATGTTGTTTGATCTGCTACGTGGTAACAACAGGCATCTGCAAGGCGGGAGTATGGTGTGCTAGGGAGGCAATCTGTGTCCCTAACAGGACATCTCCGGTAGCTTCCCAAGAGTTTTGGATGATCATGGGGGTTGGGCCTTGGACAGGAGCACAGTGGGAGTGTCAGGCAGTGCAGGAGAATCAGGAATCAGAATCACTTGACTAGGGTGCTGATCTACCTGTGAGGCCCATTAGTTGATAACTCCATATATCAGGGCAGAGATGGGGAAAGGTGGTTCTCTCTCTAGCAGATCCTGGGCAGCAGCTCCAGGATGAACGCACAGACCATCTGGCCCTGTCTGGCCCAGATGTGGGCAGCACAGCAACTGAGTGCTTCCCAGGGAGAGGCGGGCGGGAAAGGAGAGACTGGAGAGCCAGTCCTCGGACAAGGTCACATAAAAGAAGCTGGTGCTGAGGGCGAGAGCATGGCAAAGGCTGCACCACGTTCCTGAACCATGTCCCGGGACATCAGGCAACCTCTACAGGACACGGATACACGGGTGTCAGTACACCTGCTCAGAATCAAGTGCAGGGAGTATTATGCCAGCCTGGAGTATACAGTCAACAAAACTAAAGAGGAGAAATGAGGATAGGACTGGAATTGGGCTGAATTAGTCTCTAACAGAAGACTCTTAGCATTTAATTAAAAGTAAATAAACAGCAAAAAAATCAACTCCTATGATCAACTCCAACCTGTGTGCAAATTTAGCATATGCGGGAAAACTCAAGGTGCTGAATACTTCCTAGAGACTAGTTTTACCATATAAACCAACTGGACTCACCTGGGATTCCCCTGCTCAGTCTCACAAGTACTAGAGTTGTAGACAAGTACCACCACAATGAGTAATAGGTCACACCTTTTAAAAAAACTCTCATGAAAATAGCGCCATGAAAATTTAATTTAATTTAATGACCACCATATAAAACCTTACATTCAGGCTGAGGACGTGGCTCAGTGCAGGAGCACTTGCCTAGCATGGGCCAAGCAAGCCCTGGGCTTGACTCCCTGAAATCAAAAGACAAACAAAACGCAAACAAACTGTAGATGATCTTCAAGGACATCAGCAGGTATGGAATGGAGCTGAACCCCTGAGACCAACTGTCCTGGTGAGGGCAGAGCCAGAGAAGCGGAACTGCGCAAGTCCTCTGGAGACCAGAAGACCAGGATTGAGTCCCAAATGTCAGACACAGAGGTTTGACACTGTTGGACTTTGCTTTTATTTTGATTTGGTTTTAACTGTGCTCTGGTCTTTCCCTCTTAGAACAAATATATAACCTGGTTTTGATTTTACAGGAGTGCTCAGCAAGTACACTAAAATTTAAAACAGCACCCAGACTTTTAAATGGTTGTTTTATTTTTAAGACTGTAGGAGTTTTACACCTCATTTGGTATTCTTATATTAACATGAGATCATGGAAACAAACAAGGAAGGAAGGGTTATGGTTTAGCAATGATGCATTTGTGTGTCAATCTGACAAGGGATCAACATGATGGCCAAGCTTGGTCGTCAACCTGACACAGACAGGAAGAGGGAACCTAAGCTGAGGAATTGTTTCTATCACACATGTGGCCACATCTGTGAGGCAATGAATGCAAACTGATAGAGGAGGGCAAAGCCCACCGTGGGTGTTATCCTCTTAGGTAGGTGGGTCGAGGCTATCAAATAAAGGTAGCTGAATATAAGCCAGGGAATAATTCAATGAGCAGCAATCCTCCATGGGTTCTGCTTTAAGCCACTACCGTGCATTCCTGCCTTGGATCCCCTTGATGGTAGACTGCACCTGTAAGATGAATCTAGCCCTTTTCTTCCTGAGATTTCTTTCCTTTTGTCTTTACTTGGGGGTGGGGGTGGGGAGGGGCATCATGGTGGGGGTGGGGAGGGGCATCATGGTGTTTATCCCAGCCGCTCAGGTAAGCCAGAGCAGAAGCTTTACTCTCAACATTCCGAGATTCACGTGAGCAGCGCCAGACGGAGATGAAGAAGTAGAACATGGCTGCACAGGCCTACTGCACTGCTCTGAACAAAGATCACAGGACTGCTCCACGTCTCAGTTTGGGGAGCAGCGGTCAGTACCACACACCGAATATTTGTCCTGTGACTGTACTGTCCCACAGTCCAGGGAATCTGTGTGCTAATCAAATGAGACATGCTATGCCACAGGTGGAGAAACTGGCCTAGAGGCACTCAGCAGCTTGCTCAGGTTGCTCAGCTAACAAGTGACTGAAAGAGGAAGTGAGATTACTATTTAACTGGGGGAGAGCATGAAAAATGATAAATTTGCTCACCAGACGTTCTAGGAGGTTATTCCGCTTAGAAGAACCCCAAGAAGCGGTGTGTGTGTCACACTTTACACAACCAATACTGTATTCTGTGTCATTGCAGGAGGCAGACCATTGGGAAGTAACTTAGAAAGGAGCGCTTTGCCGGCCTCACCTCAGGACTAGACACCATTGATAGTGTGATTAGATACAGCACAGCAGCTGGTGACAATGGAGCCAACCAGGAAGAACACAGTGAAATGCCTTAGCCAAAATGGACCCAAACTTCAACTGTATCACCTAATATGTTATGGCAGAATCATAAAAACATAACATTTAATTTCAAAAAAGAGGAAAACTAAAGCACACCCCACTGAGTGTGGCCAAGGAAACCGTGTTTTCTGATTTGCTAGGAGACCTGCCTGGTTTTAAGGGCTGTTGTGTGTGGCTATTAACAGTCCCTCAGCATGGATGAAATAGTATCATCATCCTAAGTAGGATACGTGTCCATAAAAATATAGTAAATCAAAATAGTAGCATAAACTCTAAAAATGTAATAAATAAAATTCTTTTAAAAAGTGATATAATATATAGAGAATACTTGAGACAGGGAGAGAAAATGGTGTTGAGTTAAGGAACAAGCAGGCAGGTGGATGTGGTTATCCCAAGCACACAAGTTCTTAGATTACATTCATTTCCTAATCACACTGCATAAATAACACACTGTCTGCTACACATGATAATCTACGTATAACTAGTATTATTTATAAATGTTAGCAATACACATCTTTAAAACATGAAAGGAGTAAAACAGGCAAAAATTATCACCCATGATTATGGGGAAGAATACGATAAATTATTAAGAAGTTTATTAGTTGTTGAGTTATCATTTTAATAGGTTAGTGGAAGGTGCTCTCTGGAAACTACCTGTACCATGTTAGCAAAAGTTAGCTGGTACAATACCAGAAAGATGAATGTGGTTAAAGTAAGAATCCCCAGAGAACACAGACACAGACACACATGTACGTACACACAAGATAACAGGTGTCACTTGAACACAAGAGTTAGCGAGAACATGCACTCTATCAGAAGGAAGGTGTGAGCTTGTATCAGCATGGCACTTTGGACTGTAGTTGGCACCAACCGTGTGACTGTGATCAGACATAAATAAATATCAACTCTGAAAACATGTTAGAGAAGAACTGCCACCTCATATCCACCAAACAGAACCAGACACGCGGTCACCACCAGCCAGCAGTCTCCTTCAGGACACTTCCTGATGGAGGCTCTTCACTGTAGAGCCATTATAAGGCAACTGACAGTGACGGTTTCAGTCTATAGCAAATTGAACATTTGAAGGCAGGTGTCAGTCTTCAACCATCTCACCCCAATGCCCCATCAACTCATCAGAAAGTAGTTGGTCATTTAATTTGTTGAGATTCTTTAGAAACTGGGACTCTGGAATGTGTGGTGAGAAACGCAGTTATATCACTACTGTGTAATCAATCATATCTGTGTCGTAAGGATGGAAGTGACTAGGAAGGCAAAGAATGAGAGAGGCTACTGAGGCCAGACCTGGCTTCACACCGGGAGGGGGAGGGGGACGACAGATGGACCCAGGATGGGACAGTAGATGATTAAGGAGGACAGTACCTGGAATACTTGCAGGGGAAATCGGACCAGACCGAGATTGGTTGCTTCCCACAGGAGAGCCAACAGGAGAAGGCGATGGCCCCCCAGGGATGCTGGAAAGATGGGGGGATGCATGTGGGGAGAAAGGAGACTGAGCCGGGTTGCTCTGATCCCCCTGGCTGCTCGTAGAGCCGGACGCACTGACTGCTGAGCTCAGGGTTGCTTCCGTTCCCGTGGGGAGGTCATCGATGGAGCCAGACAGGTCCTGAGGAAGACAGAAAAGGCAGGTGTTCACACACGGGGAACACTAAGCACACAAAGTACAACTGGAAAGTAACAGTGCCATTCCTCCTTCAGAGACAGTGTGAGTGGGCAAGACCAGCCTGTGGACTCCAGCGAACTCACACAGAACGCCTGGCATCACATAAAAGATGAGGCGAGCTGCATCTCACGCGCAAGCTAACCTTGAAGGTCCCCCTTCTGCCACTAGCGCCCAGCTGTGGACCTATTCAAAATGCTTGATCAGGCAGTCCTTTGTGGAGCAAGCTACCACAGGAATGAAGACTTCAATAAACTGAGCAGCTACAGGCTTGGGGCAACCTTCCATGGAAATTAAAGCAGGGATGCTGCAGCCTAATAATGGTCAAATTCTAACTGAACTTTGTGGTGAGAAATTCTCCCATTTTTAAGCATTATAATGAAATACTGGCATTTGCATTTTAATATATTATGGAAATACAATCCTATTGACATTATATGGCCAGAAATGAGTTCTAATGTTACACAACATGCCCTTATGCAGGAATTTTGCACTGTTAATCCCACCTAATTTGACTCCTACACTCTCAGAGGAGTTACTACAGTTTCCACGTGAAAGACCCACTCTGGGCATGCTCCTCAGGTGAGAACGCAGGTAATTAAAGGCACCGACAGATAAGGACACAGCAGCTGTGTTCCCAGGCCTAGAGAGGGCGCCACTGTCTTCAGATGCCCAGACACCAGACACAGGCCTGCTGGTGTGACAGTTCTTCCATGTGGAAAGCTCAGTAAGGTCCCTCAAGACTGGAAGCCAGATGCAGAGGGAGCCTAAGCTGCGGTACACAACACCAGGGCATGCTGCTCTGGACGGGAGTGCCCCACTCAGTTGGCACGCCAGACCTTGCTTACCATAGGGCCTTCTGGAGTGAGAGAGCTCGAGACTGACCCAGTAAGATGCCTGGGGACTCAGAAGAAATGCAGCTGCCAAGGCAGCAGAGGAACCCAGGACTAGACCCTAGGCCCTGGACACTGGGCTGTGCCAGGAACTCCCCTCTTAGGAGGATGCTATCACAGCTAAAAATGTACACACACCACAGCTCATCAGCCCCAGGAAAATGCAGAGTGCATATTTAAAAAGTCTTACAGTGGTTTAAGTAAAACAAAACGTAATCTTATCAAGTCAAATAGTTCTGCTTATGAAAAACAACACAATGATTGGAAATATCTAACCTTTGGAAAAGGTTTTTATCAAATCTCTCAAATAAGATGAGGTAAATTGAATCAGATTGCTTGGAATTCAAAGATAAAACAAACATTTTTGCTCTAGGCGCATGGCATAGGTGATTTTGCACACACTCAGCTGGTAAAACTTCCTATTTAAACTTGATTACTGACTGACTCAGTGATAGTCCCACTTAGATCTTATAAATTAGATATTACTTTTACAAAGCCAGGTAGGGCTATAGGAAAGTTATTAATCCAGAAGCATGCCATATACAACTCAAGGAAACCAACCTCTGGCAATCAACACAATTAGCAAGGTTCCACAAACAAATTTAGATCGACATGTCCAGAAAGAATGGGATCACTTTTCCTCTACCCCCGGCTTCCCGCTCACTGATCACCATACCCATTCTGAGAACTGGGTGGGTGTGGATCTGGTGGAAAGGACAAGGTATCCTGGGCTGAGCTTTCCAGTGTTTGCCTCCCAGGCATTCCCTTCCTAATACATGTAACCAACTTAAGAACTTGCAAAACCACCACAGTCGGTGACCTGTGGGTTAAAGGTGAGCTGCACTTATGCACTAACCACGAGCTACCCACATGGCTGAGTGCAAACACACTGTGCATGTGCGTGCACACACAGAAGTCAAAACAACAATAAAAACCTCAATAGCAGTATTTGTTAACATACTGGAAATATGTGAAATTCAAATGGTGGCCTCTGTGTATTTCCTTAAAACAACACACACACATAAGTCAAAACAACAATAAAAACCCCAACAGCAGTATTTGTTAACATATTGGAAATATATGAAATTCAAATGGCAGCCTCGTGTATTTCCTTAAATCAAGACACACCCAGCCCTTAGCACTGCCTATGAATGCTGTGGCAATGGTTGAGCAAAGCAACTGGGACAGGCCATGTGACTGAGGATGTTTGCCTTCTAACTCCTGATGCAAAGGTGCTAGGCAGGGCTTAGGTGGCTCACCCAAAGACCTCACTGCAGGCCATAGTTCATGCAGACTTTACAGAAATAGTTACACAACCTCTGGAAAGTATTAACTGAGAGGTGTAGGTTTATGTTGGGAATGAATAATCTCAGCACCAAAGGAAGAAACATAAATACAGCGGAGGGAACTGTGCAAAACGATTTGCTTTGCAAAAAAGATCGCCTAGAATGAGGGTCTGGCAACAACACAAGGCTTTTGGGTTTTCTCCCATTTGATGGGGTGGTAATGGTATCTCATCCCCTTGCACCAAGCTCAACTTCACAGTTTGATGTGACTGGCTAATCAGCTCAAAGGGAAGGTGGGGCTTGTCTCACTAACTAGCTTTGAGAAGAAAACAACAAAAACAGAAGACAAAACATTTCCCATAGTTTACTAGTTTTCTCTTAAAAACAAAACAAAAACCAAAAAACGACTAAGACAAACCCTCTTCTGGGACTAGGAGGACTTAGCAGGTGGGGTGCTTGTGAGTGAGCGTGGCCACACAGTGGAAGGAAAGCAGAAAATCCTGCATGTGGCCACTGATCGCCACAAGTCAGTGGCTGCATCAGGTACATCTGAGGCAGGTGCTTCCCGACACTAGCAAGAAGGGAGTGGTGAGGGAACATACGTCCCATACCTCTCAAGATAATTGATAAATAGCTAGATAGACAATCATTTCTACTTCACGTCAGACAGAGTTAAACAGGCACAATGTAAATTCAGTGTTCAATTGTGATTAAATAATTTTATGCAAATCTTCCTTCATAAAAACTGGAATGTTACTCATAAATTTTTGTAATTCTCTGCATGACCTACAAATTTCTTCCCCATCCTCTCTTAAAATTCCACATTATTGCTGAAAACAGGCGGCGAGGACGGTTGTCAAGAGAGCTCCATTCAAATTGCAGAGGCATTGAAAACATTTCTGTTATTCAACAGGCTGATCAAGGAAGCACCAAGAGGAAAATATAAAACTGGTGGCTTCCTTCGTGTTCACGTGTCATCAGAATTTCAGCGCTGACTAGACCTTGGCGCAACAGAAGAGCAATAAAAAGATATAATTTTTATATTACTGCTATACCCTCTCGGAACTTTTCTATGTAAATGATACAGAAGACTCCCACCCTGCTGATCCTTACCATATCCATATGCAGAGCTATCTTAAAGCCCACTAATGAAGGAAGTTCAGCCTGGTTTAAGCACACAGCCTCGTTAACACAGAAGCCCGTCACTAACACGCCCCTAGAGGACACTTAGTCAGCAGGGCACCAGCTCCTTCTCCTGTAAGTACTACTGGGACCATGGTGCCTGCATCTCCTCACGGCTAAGACACCTTCCAGCTACAGTGATTCCATTCATCTTGCTGGAGAGCTGGTAAGTTAGGTCTGGGGACTACAGCCAGGGCTCTTTGCGGGTTGTAGGCATCACCCCATAGCACTCCTTCCAGCCTCTCTCCTAATGGAGGGATGAGTAAGGCAACGGTTTCTCGGGCTCTCGCCTAGAAAGTTACTACTGTGCCATCATAGCTGGCTGTGGTGAGATCGTGCTAGCACATCGGGTGTTCTCTGTTTAATGCCTACCCACAAGACCAAATATTTTTTAATGTAACAAAAATTAATGTGCACTCACTATCAATGGTTCATTTATTTCTAAAAGTCCCTGTCTTGAACATCACAAAACCCCGTGACACTTTACTTCTAAAACCATTTCAAGAAGGCCTCTGCTCAGACTTTACCACTGTAACCTCACCCCCCTCACCCTCTATGTTCAAATAAAAAAATCTCAAATTAACTCAAGGGACTGGGCAGAGAAGGACCACTAGAGAGTGACAGGAGTCTTAGCTGACTTTTACAAGAGGAACAATTATGAATTAACACAGCAGCACAATGTTCCTGATTCCTCATGTCCAGGCCCAGGAAGGGAAGCGCTGTAATGGTCTGTCCTGTCCCTTTAAGAGACAAGTCACCCCCCCCCTTCTGCAGAAGCAAGCTGATCTTCAGCTTCCAGCCTGAGTCCCTTCCTTCTTTCCCCACTACCTCTAAGAGTCAGCTTCTGTCTCTCCCTTCTCCCCACTTCTTCCCTTCCCTGCTCGCTCTCTCTCTCTCTCTCTCTCTCTCTCTCTCTCTCTCTCCTCTTCCCCCTTCTCCCCTTCCATAACCCACTAAATTAATACCCAACTTCACTCTGCATGGCGTGTCTATCCATCTCGGTTTCTCAGTCAACACGTAGCTTCCTGCCTGGGACCCAGCTGCCTTCATGGCCTGCCGTGGTCTCAGGACCCACTGCCCACCACAGCTGGGGACCTGTGAAGTGGTCTCATGGCCTGTTGCCCACAGCATTTTACTTAACCATTACAAGCACATGGCAAACTCCATGAAGATGGTATGCAGGAACTACTTTAAAAAGACCTACATGCAAACAGAAAACAAGGAGTGCAGGGTATGAGTTCTCTAATGTCTAGACATCACACAGGAACCTCCCTGAAAACACTTACGCTGATCTTTATGAGTCACTACTGCAAAGCATAATTTAGCATGTTGGCCCAGGGTAAGTTCAGTCAATATCGGCGCTGTGTCACTGATTCGGAGAACTGGGAATACGCTAGGAAACTGTACTCCCCTGCTTAATTAAATAAGTGGGTTTTCAAAAAGCAAATGAACTTCCAAACACTCCAAGCCACAGCTCTCAGTACAATTAGCTGCTGGTGGAGGTCAGCCCTGATGGTGAGCTGCCCCACACTGTACACATCTGGGCATCCCTTGCTCAGGCACACCCCATGAGAAAAGGGGATGA